CATTTCACAGATGAGCTCACTGAGGCCAGGGCCAGAGAGGCTCAGCAGAGCTGGAAGTCAGAGCCTTTCACGAGAGGCAGTGCCCTGGGGTCTGGCGGGTGCCTCCTGTGCCCAGGGCTGCAGGGTGCCGGTCAGTGTCCAGTCAGGGCCTGGGGCAACCTCTGTGAGTCAGTGGCCCTGGGCAGCGGCCCCCACCCTGCCTGAGTGTGACCGGGTCTCCATGTGTAGCCTGAAGAGGAGACAGGAGGACACTGTGGTACAAGCTCGGGCCCTTCTTTGTCCGCCCCAGCCCTCAACCAGGTCTCTTAGGAGGATCCAGTCCGAGGTGGAGGCCCCTGTGGGCCCGGAGGCCCCTTATGGCCCCTCATTGTGGCTTCCACGGGAAACGTATACCCAAGGAGGGCAGAGGGGCGATTGGAATGAAGGTGCCGTGATGTCTCCAGATGTGTGGGCCCCGGCCGCCTTGTGGGACAGATGGCAGGGCTGGGGAAAGACCAGTAGGTCCCCTCAGGTCCATCCCAAAGGAGGAGGGGCGGGCGACCCCATTTTTCTCCTTTGAGCGAGTGGGGCCCGGCCTGAAGTCAGCTGGGGACAGGCATCCTGCTGGCCTGTCACCCTAAGAAGGCTGATCAGGTGACACACGACCAGATGCCACCCAGGCCATTTCTCCTTGTCCCTGGGGCTCTCAGCTGTACTCAGAGGGACAGCAGAGGGTGAGGCACAGAGGTGCCATGCTTCCGGCCTCCGCTTACCGGGGCCTGGGGGTCCCCTCCCCCTCCCCCCTCCCCCGACTTGAGCCAAGCCGTGGAAGGTCAGACAGTGTGTGGGGCATGGCTGCCACCTGGGTCTCGGGGACCCGGGGACACTGGCCCCCCCAAGGCCACAGCCATCCCTGTGGCATCTTGTCCCTACAGAAGCCTCCCCTCAGGACACCTGCTGTTTGCTGGGCGGCTCTCATTCTCCCCCAGGAACCCCCCCGGCCCCTCGCCACAGACCTGCCCTCTCAGGCTGCCTGCTCCTGGGCCTGCGTGCTGTGCACACTGCCAGCAGGGTGGCCCAGGGTCACCCACAGGTTCCAGGGCCCTGCCTTTCCTGCCCTAGAGGGGCGGGGGCGGGGGGCAGATGCCGGGTTTGGCTGCTTTCCTTCTCTGTCCCCGGAAGGGAGTAGGAGCCGGAAACAAATGCCCCCCCCCCCCCATCTGCCAGTTTCTGCCCAGGCTCCGGGGCAGTTTGCCTGAGAACCTGGCCCTCTGTCTCTCGGTAGATGGTTTCAATGGCGCCTGCACTCGGCATTGCTCTGAGCGTCTGGTTTTGTCTGTGGCGGCTGCTGCGTGAAGGGGCCAGAGCAGCCCCGCGTCTGTGTGACAGGGGTAGTCTGTCCCTCTCGGTGTCCGGCCCTGCCCCCCACCCCCCACTGGCTTCAGAAGGGGGCCCCGGGGGGTGGGGGAGGGGCTCAGGAACCCTGTGACACGCAGGCCAGCCGCTCTGCAGGCGAGGCGGGTGGCTGAGTGCAGGGCCTGCTCTCTGGCCCCGCGGGAAGGGGGCGGGGGGTGCGGCGCCACTGCCTGGCCGAGGCCCCTGCTAGGGCCGGCCTTGACGGAGCCCCGCTGGGAGCCAGGTGCTATGTGGAGTTCAAGTGCAGTGCCCTCTGGCCGGTGGGTCCTGCACGGGGACCTCCAAATCGCTGCCACCAACCTGGGTGTTTTGGACACGGACTGGTTCCCAGCTGGGCCGAGTTGTGGCTCAGAAACCCTGGAGAAGGGCAGGTGCTTCCACTCGAGCCTCGGCCTTTGCAGGAAGCATTCTGAGCCCTGAGAACGTGCCTGGGTGGTGGGTCCCCAGTCCAGCGGGGGGACAGCTGGTCCCCGAAGCCTGTCTTCTCTGACGCCTGTTCCAGGCAGGGAAAGAGAGAGTGAGCCTATGGCTCAGCTTTTCTGCCTCAGGAATCTCCCTTCCTCGGTGGAAAGGCCGGACCTCCACGTGTCCTGGCTATTTGACGGGCGTGGGCGTGGGAGGTGCCGCTCGGGGTTGGGGTGCCCTCCGCCCGTGGTTCCCCCTGGCTTCCCAGAAGCCGGCTGGCTCTCTCTCTGGAGAGAATGTGATCGCAGTGGCTTCCCCGTTGGCATGGTGCCCAGTGTGGGAGGGCGGCCACAGGCCAAAGGAAGTGGCCTTCCCGAGGGCAGCCCCCCCCAGGGCCCTCAAGGGTGGGCAGGAGGCGAGAGGCCCAGGCGCCCCATCGCTGCCCCCAGGGGCGCAGTGGGGCCCAGCTTAGGCCAAGGGCTTCAGGGAGGGCACTTTCGCCTGGGTCTTCTGTAAGCTGCAGCTCACCTCGGGTCAGGGCAGTGACCCACGCTCCCAGCTGCAGGTGAGGACCGGCAGTGTGGCCCTCTGCCAGCTGGAACCTCCCAGCTCCTCCCTCAACTCTCAGAGGTCCCCTTCCCACTGCGGGCACGCCCTTCCCTGGACAGGGGCAGGTGGGAGACGGGGCTGCGAGGCCCGGGCTGACGCAACCAAGTGGCCTTAGCCAGGGCTTGATGGTCACGGCCCCCCCAGGCCAGCCTGTTCCATGGAAGGGGTGGCTGCCCCCTAAAACCAGGGCATTTCCTCTCTGGTCCTGGTCCAGGGAGCAGCCAGATGATCCCCCTTTCTACAGCCCTGTGATTCTGAGTCCCGTGAAAGCCCAGTGCTCTGCCCAGATGCCTGCACCATCATCATTTTCACCCCGTCCCCATGCACGTGATGATGGACATGGAAGGGGAACTCCTCTGTTACCCAAGAAAGGGCCCGGGCTTGAATGAGCAGAAAGGGAAGGAAGTGGCGTCGGATGTGGCCTTCGGGGATGCCCAGCACCTGCCCCAGACCCGTGATGCTGCCTCCGGGGCTGGGTCCATAGGAGCTGCTGGGTCAGCCGAGGGGTGGGGGGGGGGGGCACGATGATGAGCTGGGGAGACATGACGAGGGCCTGGGGCCCCAGACCGTGGGGGAGGCACCTTCCAGGTGGCACGAGCAGGTGGCTGGGGGTCTGGGAGCCTGGGGACTTGTCTCGCTCGTACCCAGCTTGTGGCTGGTGGAGTGGGAAGGGGGCGAGGCTGGGGGTGGTGTCCACCTGCCCCGATACTACTCCCGAGAGCCCTCGAGCCGTCGGCCCATTTAGTCCTGGCCTGGGGATCTGCGTGGACACCGGGCCTCAGCTGCGGACCGGGGGTTCATGAGGCAGCCCCTGACGCCCCCGCCTGGTGGCCGGGCACTGTCTCCACAGAGCTGCACACAGGAGATCGGCGAGGAGCTGGTCAACGGGGTCATCCATTCCATCTCCCTGCGGAAGGTGCAGGCACACCACGGCGCCAACAAGGGCCAACGCTGGCTCGGGGTGAGTGCGGGCACGGGGGCCCCCACCGCCGGAACCCTGCGGAGGCCCGGAGGCCAGACACCGCTCGGCGACTCTGTTGGGTTCCCTCCCAGGGCCTTCCTGCCTGAGGGCCCACAGCCCCCCCTCCTAGAGGATCATGGGCCTTCGTGCCCCCCCCCCCCGCCCCCACCACTGTCCGGTCCTGGGCTCGGCTGGGAGCATCCCTCTGCACGTATTTGATGAATATGAAAAAAGATGCTCTTTGGTAAAACATTTATATTTAAAAAAAATAGTTTTAATGTTTATTTATGAGAGAGAGAGAGAGAGCGCACACACACACTTGTGCGGGGGGGAGGGGCAGAGAGAGAAGGAGACAGAGAATCGGAAGCAGGCTCCAGGTTCTGAGCTGTCAGCACAGAGCCCGACGCGGGGCTCGAACCCACAAACCGTGAGATCATGACCCGAGTCAAAGCCGGATGCTCAACTGACAGAGCCACCCAGGCGCCCCCCCCCCCCAAAAAGACCCTTTTCGAAAAACACAACAAAGGCACTTTTCTGCTGTTTTTACTTCACGTTAGGCTGCAAGTGATTTTGTACGTTGCCCCAGTTTTTCTCGTTTTAATTCCTGCCCCCGGTTGTGTCGGGGGCCGTGAGCCCGCCCTTGCAGACCCTCAAGCCCTTCCGCAGCACCTCGCTTAGAAGGGCTAGTTTGACCCAAAAGGGGCGGAGGCTCAGGCTACTATATAACTTGCGGTCTCCTGGGGCACAGCCCTGTGACCCCTCCAGGTCAGAGGTAGGGCCGGACTCAGCAGCACAACATTCCAAAGGGGAGGCCCGGTCGTCACGGTGATTCACCCTTTCATGCTCTAGGACCTGGTCTTGATTCCTTCCCACAGCTTTCCCCGGGGCTGCACTGAACATGCTGTATCTCTTCTCACCCCAGAATAAGCCTCTGTGTTCTCGTGTCTAGAATGGGCAGGTTTTGCCAGGGCTCACGGGAGTGATGCTCCTAATACAAGGAGGGGCGGTCGTTTTAAGTTCCCCTAACAGAATGGCCAGAAAGTGTTGGGTTAGTATTTTTTAGCCCTCCCCATCTCCAATTCCACTTTTTTTTTCAATGCTTTATTTTATTTTTGAGAGAGAGAGAGAGAGAGGCAGAGTGCGAATGGCAGTGGGGGGCGTTGGGCAGAAAGAGGGAGACAGAATCGGAAGCAGGCTCCAGGCTCTGAGCTGTCAGCACGGAGCCCGACGCGGGGCTCAAACCTGCGGACTGCTAGATCATGACTTGAGCTGAAGTCGGATGCCTAACCGACTGAGCCACCTAGGTGCCCCTTCCGATTCCACTTCTTGAGCTGAGAACCTTTTTCTGCTGGGGGCACGCATGTCTGCGCCCTTGCCACATGTCACTGAGCACTTGGGAGTTCATCTGAGCCCCTGTGTCCCACCCCAGTGTGAAAATGAGTCAGCCCTGAACCTGTATGAGACCTGCAAGGTGCGGACGGTGAAGGCCGGCACGCTGGAGAAGCTGGTGGAGCACCTGGTGCCTGCCTTCCAGGGCAGCGACCTCTCCTACGTCACCATCTTCCTGTGCACGTACCGAGCCTTCACCACCACCCAGCAGGTGCTGGACCTGCTGTTCAAAAGGTGAGCA